AGTTTCACCTTATAAGTACCCTTCTCTTCTCTTTCGCGCTTCTCTCTCTTTTCGCACATTTGGGTTTCTCGTACTCCTTCTGGGTTTCGCGTTTCCGTTTCTCTTTCGAGTCTACGATTGCTAAATCGGATCAATTTCTTGCTGGGTTTTGCTTCTTCTTCGGTAAAGGTTGAATCTTTTCCCCTTCAATCTCTTTCTGTTCCTTGTTCTCGTTCTTCTCTTTGATGATTTCGCGAAATGGGTTTTCGTAGGATTGCTGTTACTTGTGATTGTTAGGGGTTTTATTGCGATTTTGTCCATTGAGGTATCTTGACTTTGTGATTGCCTTAGAGACTGGTTTATACTGATTTTGGTTTTAGTTCATGTCATCGTTTTGATAGATTGTTACTTTCTTATCTGTATCGATTAAAAGAGATGATCTTTATCAGTATGGTCTCAGTTTCCTTGAAGATTCCTTTCAGATTTGTTTTCTTTCCAGAAGAAGTGAAATGCTGGTGTTGATTCAGGAAAGCTCAAGATTTGATTTTGTTGCTGTATCTGCAGGATGGATGAACGAGCTTCGAAACGTGCGAAAACAACAGTTGCTAAGAATCCAACCGGTCTCTCTGGGCAATCTTCTGTTCTTATTCCTGGTGTGAACAATTCTTTGGATACGATAGGCTCCAAAGGTCTTGTCAAAAAGTTTGAGTTCATTAGGATAATCACTGAAGCACTTATCTCGCTCGGATTTGACGACATTGCAGCCCTTTTAGAGGAAAAGTCTGGCATTCCTCTGCTCAGTCCTATTGTTAAGCAGTTTCTGAAACTAGTCGAAGATGGAGAATGGGACAAATCCATCAATGCATTGCAGGGATTTCAACTACAAGAGCAGAAAGTTGAAAATGCTGTGAAATTCTTGCTACTAGAGCAGAAGTTCTTTGAAGTTTCGAAGATAAGAAATGGTGTTGATGCTCCGGAAATTTTAAAGGAGATGATGCGTCTTGATGTTGACAGTAAACACGTCCATAAGCTCGCGTACCAACTTCTATCACCTGGTGAATATACAGAAAATGTGAATTCAAGGTCTGAGATTGTGAAGAAACTGCAAGACTTGTTTCCTCCTGGAGTTATAATCCTGGAAAGGAGGTTGGAGTGTCTCATAGAGAGGAGCCTTGAATATCAGGTGTATGACTGTGGTTTCCATAATGTTCCGGATAGTGAGTTGTCCATATGCTATGATCATGATTGTGAGGATCATAAAATTCCTTCGGAGACTGTACAGGTAATAAGACTAATGTTACTTCTGATCTCTTGATGATGTTCTTGTTTCATTTCTGGATGATAGTTAATGTTGAAAACATTGAGAGAGTCTCATAAACAGTGTGTTACAGTGTTTGGATAAATTCTTGCTTTGTTCTCTTGATTACTTAACAGGCTCGTTTTATGCTTGATTCATTGATTTCTTTATATGAATGGTTCAGACATTGGAGGAGCATACGGATGAAGTCAGGTTCTTGAAATTCTCACATAATGGCAGATACTTGGCGTCTTCCAAGGATAAATCAGCAATAATATGGGAGGTATGTATACAGATCAAGTTATAAGCTCAAGATGGTTTAGCAATATTTGATGATTTACTTAGATGTGCTCTGTTTCAAGATCAATGCAGAGGGGAAGTTTTCGCTGAAGCATAAACTTGAGGGCCACCAGAATCCCGTGGTAGAAGTTTTATGGAGTCCTGATGATCGACAAGTAATTACATGCGGAGAAAATGAGGTTATCAGGAGCTGGGATGTTGATTCAGGAGCATTTGTTTGCTCGTATCATCCAAGAAATGGTGTTGGTTCCGTTTCTTGTGGATGGTTTCATGATGGTTCAGGTATTATTGGTGGAATGGCAGATAGGCGCATCTATTTGTGGAATTTAAAGGGGGCCGAGATAGAGCACAAGCAAGGCCAACAGGCACTAAAGCTTTCTGATGTAGCCATGACGACTGATGGGAAGTGGCTTGTAAGCGCGGGAAGGGGGATCTCATTGTTTGATAGAGAAACCAACAGAGTTGAGAAAGTTATTGTAGAGGAAGACATTATTACCTCGTTCTCTCTGTCGAATGACAACAGGTATCTTCTGATCAATCTCATTAAACAGAAGATCCATCTCTGGAACATTCTAGGTAAACCAAGGAAGATTTCGGGATTCGTTGGCCACGGCCACAAGACTAGTCAGTTTATTATCAGGTCTTGCTTTGGTGGCTATGACGAAGATTTCATCGCCAGTGGAAGTGAGGATTCTAAGGTATAAATCTCTCATTCTCTTAGAATCTTTCGGTCTCAGAAACATTTTCCTCTGCAAATGAGTGA